ATATATACACACACACACACACATATATATGTATAGTTTTTGAACAATGCCACGTGGAAACAAATCAAATAACACTGAACAAGTGGCGTCTGATTCCACGCCAGTTATGTCATCAATTGAGACGGCTGAGACACTATCAGAGGCAGCGTTAGAAAAACATTTCTCAAAAGCAGAGAGCAAAACCAATGAACATTTAAATCAGTTGGAGCAATGTCTGGATTCCTTCCAAAAGGACTTCTCAGCTCTAAGAGAGAAGATTAGCAAACTCCGTGAGAGCATGAAAGTTTGAAGAGATGCACTGAAAAGGTAGAGAACACTTCTGGTTTATTAATCGACAATGTTCAAAAAATGGAGCTGAAACTGGCTGACTTGGAGGATCGCAACAGGAGGAATAACATCTGAGTACATGGAGGCTCTTTTTCATGTGGCCGACAAATGTGGCTGCATTCACCTTGCAGCCATAAAAGAAACAGAGAAACAAAGACATCTGAGGCTTTTTAACCAAGTCGAGTAGTTTGGAAATTTATGAAGGACCAAAGAAATAGTTTTTAAATGTAAGTTTAGTTTAACTGATGAAATTAATGTTGCAATAAGATGTTAAATAAAATGCAACTACAAGTACTGACATTGGACTCTAGACTAGACTCTGGGGATATCTGAGGTTTCTTTGGTGCAATGAGAACAGTATATGGCTCCAGCTACTGCTGTCTAAGCCCCTTTCAGTCAAAAGATGGACAAAGGGTGCTAACAGATAGCAAGTCATTTACTAAGAGATGGAAAGAGCATTATAAGGAACTRCAGGAACACCAGCCTTAATTGGGAAACTCTTGACTTGGGATCTTCTCCCAGCTTGAAGGCAGAGGGAACAACAGAAAGACATCATCACAACTCCCAACTTCTGCAGCCCAATATCCTCCCCCATCACACCACTGACTGAACCCCCACCTCTAGCCACCCAGGCTGCACCACTGATCCATGTGGAGGAGGTGAGTCGGCTTTTCCAGAGTCAGAAGACCAGGAAAGCACCAGGCCCTGATGGTGTCTTCCCCTCCTGCCTCAAAACCTGCACAGACCAACTTTCCCCTATCTTTACCACAATCTTTAATAAGTCACTAGAGCTGTCAGAAGTTCCCTCCTGCCTGAAACGCTCCACAATCATCCCCATTCCAAAGAAGGTCTCCATCAAAGAACTAAATGACTACAGACCTGTGGCTCTGACATCTGTGGTGATGAAAATTTTTGAACGGTTGGTGTTGGCACACCTGAAGGAGGTCAAAGGAGGCCTATTGGATCCCCTGCAGTTTGCCTACAGGGCAAACAGGTCAGTGGATGATGCAGTCAACATGGGACTGCACTACATCCTGCAACATCTGGATCACCCGGGGACTTATGTAAGGATTCTGTTCATAGATTTCATCTTTGCGTTCAACACCATCATCCCAGGAACTCTCCACCAAACTCTCCAAGCTTACTGTATCTCCTGCCATCTGTCAGTGGATCACCAGCTTTCTGACAGGCAGGGAACAGCAAGTGAGGCTGGGGGAGGTGACCTCCAGTATCCGCACAGTCAGCACAGGAGTACCACTGCTCTTCTCTCTCTACACCAAGGACTGCACCTCCAGCAACCCTTCTGTTAAACTACTGAAGTATGCAGACAACATCACAGTCATTGGTCTCATCAAGGACAGGGATGAGTCTGCATACCGGACTGAGGTTGAACAGCTGGTACTCTGGTGTAACAAACACAACTTGGAGCTGGAGATACACTCAAAACAGTGAAGATGACAGTAGACTTCAGGAAACACCCCCCAGAACGACTCCCTCTGACAATATCTGGCAACTCGGTGTCCATTGTGGAAAACTATCTTTTCTGGGAACCATCACATCCCAAAACCTGAAGCGGGAGACCAACATCAACTCCATCCTCAAGAAGGCCCAACAGAGGATCTACTTCCTGCGGAAACTAAGGAAGTTGGGTCTGCCACAGGAACTGTTGATCCAGTTCTACAGAGCGGTCATAGAATCTGTCCTGTGCACAAACATGACAGTCTGGTTCATAGAATCTGTCCTGTGCACAWMMRTSACAGTCTGGKTCATAGAATCTGTCCTGTGCACAAACATGACAGTCTGGTTCATAGAATCTGTCCTGTGCACAAACATGACAGTCTGGTTCAGAGCAGCCACCCAGCAGGACAAGAACAGACTGCAACAAACAATCAGAACAGCTGAGAGAGTTGTTGGTTCTCCCTTGCCCACGCTTCAGGACCTGTATACCACAAGAACCAGGAAACAGGCAGAGAAAATCATGTCAGACTCCACACATCCAGGACATAGTCTCTTTCAACTGCTCCCCTCTGGCAGGCGCCATAGAGCCTCATGCTCAAAAACATTCAGACACAAAAACAGCTTCTTCCCCCCGGCCATCTCCCTGAGGAACAATTCCAAACATCAGACCTGCTAACTAGTGCCTAACCTCCTCTTTTTACCACACACTCACCTTGTGTGTGTCAACATACTTGGCCAATAAAGCTGATTCTGATTCTGAGGGAAGATGAAAAAGAACAAGCCTGCTGGATCCCAGCAGAAGTCCTGAAAGAAGGTGGCCCAATCCTCCTTAGCCACATCAAAATGCAAGAAAAAGAAATAATTCCTGCACAGTGTAGGGATGCCTTAATCATTTCCATTTTCAAGAAGGGAGACTAGGCTGACTGCAGGAGCTACCATGGCAGTTCCCTCCTGTCCACCACCAGGAAGGGTTTAGCCAGAGCTCTGGCTAACAGGCTTTAGCCCTGTCAGAAAAACCTTGTACCTGAATGTCAGAGTGGATTTCAACCAAACAGATGTACAACAGACATGATCTTCACTGCACACCAGTTACAAGAAAAATACTTGGAACAAAATAATCTTTTATTCATGACTTTCATAGACCTTAACAAAGCCTTTGACTCAATACACTGTCAAGCACTGTGGCTGGTCCTGGCAAAAATAAACCACATACAGCAGGCACCTATAGGTACTAGAGGCACATCATCAACAGTGCCTCTGAAAAGTCCTCAGAATCAGCTGGGTGGACTGACAAACAAAYGTCAGGGTCCTAGAAGAAGTTGATATTCCCACAACCATTGCATCATAGCCCAACACCAGCTCCGATGGACAACCAATAGTGAGACCTGGAGAAGACTGGTCCATGAAGACCCTGCACTGTACAATGACGACCTCCACCATGCTGCAGCAGACAAGCACAGACASCGGAGGAATAGAGCCACTTCCAAAAAGGCCCAGCTTCAACCCACAACCACCCACCCATGTCCACAGTGCACAAACATGTTCACCTCCAGGATTTACCTTCTCTCACTCCTCAAGACCCAAAAAGACCAACATGCTCAACTTTGAGTGACTGCCAATGATGATGTCATGGTTGACACTGAATGTTTTATTGACGCTGTGTTGTTTTTGTTGTTGTTGACACTGAATGTTTTGTTGACCTTGTGTGTTGTTGACACGGAATGTTTTGTTGATGCTGTGTGTCGTTGACACTGAGTGTTTTGTTGACACTGTGTGTCGTTGACACTGAGTGTCTTGTTGACACTGTGTGTTGTCTTGTTGTTTCAGTCTGGCCTCAGGACGAGTACATTGTAGAATATTCTCTGGAGTATGGCTTCCTGCGTCTGTCTCAGAGCACCAGACAGAGACTCAACATCCCGGTCATGGTCGTGACTCTGGGTGAGTGTAAACCCCCTGACCCAGTCACCTGACCYGACCGTGTCACCTGATCACCTGACCTCTGACTGTTGTTGTACATGTACACCTGTTTAGATCCCATGAAGGATGAATGTTTTGGTGATGGCTTCAGTCGATTTCTACTTGATGAGTTTCTGGGCTACGACGACATCCTGATGTCGAGTGTGAAGGCGCTGGCTGAGAACGAGGAGAACAAAGGTACAGAGGCTCCGCCCACTGTCTCAGGTTGAGTCTAAATCAGCAGGGTCATGTTGTCTCTGTGGTTGTCCTCAGGGTTCCTGAGGAACGTGGTGTCAGGAGAACATTACCGCTTTGTCAGCATGTGGATGGCCAGAACTTCGTACCTGGCTGCCTTCGTCATCATGGTCATATTTGTAAGTTCACCTGGATCTGTGCTCTCTGAGTTCTACCAGAACCTTTTAACACCAGACCTTTGGTTCTGTTTGTGTTTTAGACTCTCTCCGTGTCCATGCTGCTCAGATACTCCCACCATCAGATCTTCGTTTTTATCGGTCAGTTTTCTCTGAGGCATCAAACATTGACCTGGAGCGGACCAGCTCAGTTCAGCCCACTTTAGCTGGACTCAGGTCCTTTCAGTATTCAGTCTGGACCGGTTTAATAAGGTCCACCTCCATCCAGCTGATAATGTGCTACACACCAGTTAGGTCTTGCTCAGTTTGGTCCAGAACATACAGTTGGCTTGGTCTGGTCCAGTTTGGTGTTGTCTTTCAGACACAGTTCTGGTTCAGTGTTGGGTTTACAGTTTGAGAACTTTCTTTCAAATAATAATGTTTGGGTCCAGTTCAGATGGTCCGAACCTTTATTCCTGTCCTAACCCAGCCTTGTTCGTCCTCAGTGGATCTTCTGCAAATGTTGGAGATGAACATGACCATCGCCTTCCCAGCAGCTCCTTTGCTCACTGTCATCCTAGCCCTTGTTGGTAAGTTGGACCTCCAGGTTTTTACTTCCTGTTTTCAGAATAAAAGTCATGTCAGGAATTTTGAATATGAAAACAAACTAGTTCAGTTAGATGATAACTTTATTCGGGAATAGAAGATTCTACTTTTAGTAATTTAGTCCAAGCAACATTTTAATGTGGGGATAGAGGACACATTTTAAATCCAAAACATCTTCTGTGCTGTTGATTTGTGATGTCACTTCCTGTCATCAGGTATGGAGGCCATAATGTCAGAGTTCTTCAATGACACGACGACAGCCTTCTACATCATCCTTATCGTATGGCTGGCCGATCAGTACGACGCCATCTGCTGCCACACCAACACAAGCAAACGCCACTGGCTGCGGTAAGTCACATGACCAGGTGTCATGGCTGCATTGAGTCACATGAATAGAATAGAATAGAATAGAATAGAATAGAATAGAATAGAATAGAATAGAATAGAA